TTAAGAGTTAATCTATCACGCACATACAGAAAAATAAATAATTTTAATTTCAAGTCCCTTCGTCATAACATTTCATTCTTCTATGTATTCTCGATAAGGAACCTAACCTATGACGGCCATCACTACCTTTTATTAGATCTTACACTTACTGTATCCAATAAAAAATCTTCGAACATTTACAATGACCGTGCATACTTAACTTGAAGTCCACAACCCACGCAATGCGGTCGGTAATAAAATGGAGACATGACTATAAATAACAGATATATGTACAAAGGCCTACAAAAGCAACCGACTGAAAAGCGCTCAGGGCGAGACAAGACAGGAGTTAGAACTCGTCTCGCCTACACTATTTAAGTCATATTATTGTTATTACTCTTTGTCCTTTTTCATTTGTCTGTGAAAATATCTTTTTAATATATGTTTTTGGTACAAATTCATTTTAATTTTAAACAACTATTTGTCTAAGTGATGATATGGAATTAAAAAAATTTACATCAGTTTTCGTTCTGATGTTAGGCCATAGTATGAGAATTTCTACGCCAAAAGATTGTTGAACTTATCTATACAGATTAGTAAAATTTAAGTGTATCTATGTCAGATAAATAAAAACATTCAACGCAACGAATCGCCTAAAGTTATTTGATCCGATACTATTGAACATCCGCAACGCCAGAGGAACCGCAGATGCGTTGCCGGCCTTTAAGGGAGGTGTACAAAAGGTGTGTAAAATTTTTGTTTGTCTGTTCGCAAGGCCACGTTTGTTCCGTGTAATGTCCGAAACGACTAGACCTATTCTGACAAGACTTTGACGGCTGATGCAAGGCATATTGTAGGGTACGGCCAATTGTTTTTTTTTAATTCTGCGTTGAAAAAATCGGGGACGACCGCTAGTTATAAAAAGATACTATAATTGTGTGTTTTCAAATTTAACTACGCAAACTTTTTAAAAGACATTTTTACAATATTAACTTTACTAAAGGTACGCGTACATTGGCCCGCGCCGGACGCACCAAGACAGATCAAATCCGTTTAATTCGTGCGTGTGCGTGCAGGCCAATGGACGCGTACCTTAAGTCGATTTGGCATTTCTGGAACGATTTTACGTGATTTATACGTATTTACAGACAAATGTACGAGAGGTACATACAATTCATTTTAAAAGATTCTTTCAGCGTCAGTTAAAAATGCTAATGGATTTATGTGAACAAAAGTGTACAGTCACAAAGATAAAAAACTAATTGCATAATCGCAGTACTGTTGTCGGCAAAAGTGTTAAGTCAAAATACAGTCATGAACGAAAGCGAAATGGAATCAAAATTTGGATCTCGCTTCCGCGGATCCACTTTTGTTTTGCGATAAGGTCGACGTTAACAGAATTCTAAACATGAATGGGATGTTCTTCCTTATATCATTGTCATAAAGATTAATCCAACACGCTGCTTAATATAAAACTGTTTCTTTCCGCAAAATGAGAGTCTAGCACAGTTACGTAAACTTATTTCACAAATTTTCATTATAGACCCTTAGTTTCCAAAAGCATACTATGCGGTTGGGAAGTGGAATTCGAATTTCGATCCCATATGTACTGTCACCGACAAAAATGTTAGTCAACATTTACTGAGAAAAGTGATCGGTCAATTTAATAACAAAGTTGACGTTGGCGCTAAGCGCAATTAGCTTTATTATTATTGGAACGTAAGTATCGGGACATTTGCCCAATCGTCTAGACAACGCACAAACACACATTATAATTAATACAACTCGAATTGGGGTAGCAACTAATATAAAAGTACAATCACAATGAAAACCGAATAAAATAAAACAATAGAATAAAATATATCTTTGGTAGTTAGAATTCTAACTATCTATCTATATATATATATAGATGTTTATCACTCTTGCGAATAAGAAGTCTTTCGTATGTTTGTTTGAAGATATCCGGAGACCAACTGCATGGATCTCGCTGTTCGGTATAGACGTAAAACATATACAAAACATAAACAAAACAATACATACTTAAGCACACAAGCGCACATGCACAAACACACACTATCGCACACTACATATCTAGTATTTATATTTATATCTAAATAATAAAAATCTACATTTAATTACATATATGTTAAGAAACTATATATAACTTTAGGCAATAGATAAGAGAAGGTGCTGTCTCCTGAAACAGAGTATAGTTCAGGAGACAGAGCCCACAAAATTTTGTGAAAAATGTTTTTTTTTGCCCAATAAAGAATTTTTTTAAAACCATCTAGAAGAACACACAGGCTACTAATTAAGTTTTTTTTAATACCGCGCATACGGAGTAGCGGGCGACAGCTAGTATAACATATTTAAATAAATATTTTGCCACTCAAAATCTACTATTTATACATTTTCTAAGAATCCTCACTAACTTTTATCCTGGACACAAACCTGTTTTATTTTAATTAGGAAAATCATTTTAACATCGTTATCTTTCAACAATCAAAATCTTATTTTTTCTAATTAAACTTCCGGTGCGTAACTTTTTAAAAGCTTAAAACAATTATCCATTAAAAAAAGAATAATTATTTCCTGTGTTTATCATTTGTGTTTCCGACTATACTTCGCGTTGGCTCTGTGCCATAGCTTTGATGTTGCCGAGTGCTAATCTAGCTCGTAGAAAAGGGATGACACGCGTGTGGCATGTTCAAGGAAGTTTTGTTTTAACTGTGTTTCCACTGTTGATCAACTTGTATATCTACGACTTTTGTACGACAAAAATTAGTCCTTATCAAATCAGTTGCTATTTAGTTTTATTTTTCTTTATTTCAATTTAAGTCAGAGTACTCCGATTTTTGAGAACAAGGACCTTTTCGATCAAAGGATATTTGAGAAAGATTCATAAGACATTTCCCTGTTATAAAAGTAAAACGAAATATTTCTACGTATTGATACAAAAGCAACAAAAATTGGAAAAGATTTCCGTGAAGTATAATAATTTCCATTGAAACTAAAATTTCTGACACTTTTTATAATCACGAAACATTTATTCAAAAAGTAGCTATCGCAAGTGACTACGTCGACGAAATAAAAAAAAAATTGTTAACCTATAAGTTCTTCCAGACTATGTTCGACGCCAAATTTCATCTAGATCCATTCAGCTATTCTGGAGATATCTTCTGACAAACATTCACTCAACATGTAAGCATTGCTATTTATAATATTAGTAAGACTAACTATCGCTCGCGACTCCATTGCGCGGAAACAAAAAAAACTTAATAAGCAGCCCATGTGTTCTACGTCTATGCCAAATTTCATCTAGATCCATCCAACCGTTTTGGAGATACCTTTGAACAAACATCCATCCATACATCTGATATTGTCCTTTATCTTATATATAAAATTCTCGTGTCACAATTTTCGTTCCCATACTCCTCCGAAACGGCTTGACCGATTCTCATGAAATTTTGTGAGCATATTGAGTAGGTCTGAGAATCGGACAACATTTATTTTTAATCCCCCTAAATGTTAAGGGTAATCCAACCCTAAATTTTATTTTTTTATTTTTTAGACAAACACGCTGACGGAGTCGCGGGCGACGGCTAGTAATATTAATAAGATATAAACATCTATCATCATCTAAAATTTATATTTTAAAATTACCTCACATATGTCAATCAAGTCTTGTAGCGTTGAGTAACAACAGTGTTTTACATATTACTTACTAAGTAGTAGAGACATACGTCACAACTCTGTGCTTGTGACGTCATAGTGCATCTGTCTCTGTCTAACACATAACAATATCGTACAGCTGTCTCTACATTAACAATATGTTTTTCAAAACTGACGAATGTGACACAAAACAAACTAAGAAATTATTTTTCAAAGTAAAAAAAAATTGAACTTAATTTTTACGTAATTTACAAAGCTTTGAACTTGAATTAAAACGCTAATTAAAAAGTTCACTCTCAGAGACTAACAGTCCAAAAAATATTAACTGAACCGTGACTTTAGTTTGCAAGCTCTTTCATTGACTTGAACCAAATTATTCTAACGTTTTCGTTATATAGAAACACTAGCTGTTGCCCGAGACTATTCGCGCGGAATTAAAAAACTTAATTAGTAGCCTATGTGTTCTTCCAGACTATATTCTATATGTATACCAAATTTCATCGAGATCCGTTCAGCCGTACTGAAGATACCTTCAAACATCCATCCATCTAAACATTCGCATTTATAATATTAGTAAGATTTTTTTAAATCCTCGCGGATGGAGATGCGGGCGGCAGCTAGTCAATAATAAATTCCCACTTCAGTTTAGAGTAACAACTAAGAATTTCTCGAATGTTAATAACTAAGGCCCCTCCCTGCAAACGTCCATCACTAAAGTTACATTAAGATTGAAATCTTTCATTAGGAATTCTTAATTAAAGTGAAATTCATCTTTATTATTTCGCACTAGACTTGACATTCGTTACTTTGAAGAGCCTTACCTGCCTATTTATCATACCATCTTACTAATATTATAAATGCGAATGTTTAGATCAGTGGTTCCCAAACTTATTTTGTCTACTGCCCACTTTGAGAATAAATATTTTTTTAGCGCCCCCATAATTTCACATATTTAAAAACCACTATAACTTCAAATTAAATTAATTAATTAATGTGACCTATATATGTATATTAACGGAGAATTCTAAACGAAACTTTTACTGTAACCCGCAACTTGAGACCTACAGCGCCCACAAGGGGGCGTTATCGCCCACTTTGGGAAAGACTGGTTTAGATAGATAGATGGATGTGTAAAGGTATCTTCAGAACGGCTGCATGTCTCGATGGAATTTAAAGAACATAGTTTGGAAGAACACCAAATCCACTGATTAAGTTTTTTCTTAGAAGGTAGTAAAGATCGCATATTCAGTGGCTTATATGACTTTTTAAATGATGGGATGGATTTCAAATATGAGCATTGTGGTAGGCATAAAAATCTTAAATAATTACAAAATTCTTTATTGTCCTACCTAACTGCTTATGCAGTACTCGTCCAGACCAATTGCGTTTATATACATGTATATCTGTAAAAAGTAAATTATATAATTAAGAATTGTAGAGCATATATCTACTGTCCAACTATATATTATCCAGTTGAAACTGGATAAGTGGGAGTTCAAGAGACTGCGACATTTTTCTCGCTTAAAGAGTTTTACCCGAGTTACTCGCTCACGCAGGTCGTTCTTCCGGACCAGACACTGCCTCTCGCTTATAGATGTCATTGATGTTTGGAAGCTTTTATTTATCATTACGCGAACGCTTTGCTCTTTTTGAATATCATACGTGTGGTCCCTTTAACATTGCCGCAAACAAACCACTTTCTCGATAGCTATCTCTATAAGTTATTCCCGAACTGGACCTGGTAGTTAAGATAAAATCAGATGTTTCGAATACATTCAGTGACAATTGTTTTTTAACGTGAGTTTACACTGCATACAAACTTGTACTAAGATATACCTTCTCTTTCACTCTTCTTATAAAAAGTTGAGATAACATTATGTTTTTGTATAAGTGTTTCGGCAGTGGAATCTCGAAACTCTTACCGTTTATTCGATCGATTGTATTGAAATTTATTCGCAATGTAACTGAAAAGTCCTTTAAAGGATGTAATGGACAGATGTTCTTACAAAATATGCTATACTACTCACTCGTAAACATTTTTGGTTAACTTTTACAAAGATATATATATAACTTTCTATTATTCTTTTCATTTCTAGATTTATAGATAATTCTAAAAAGATTCACCTCTCATTTATTTAAGATACATAACCGTTAAACTTTATTTTGTAATCATAAAAAGACTATCACATGACAGCGAAATAACCATCATTGTGTTGTTAACATCATGCCAGTACAGTACGACAGTAGCGCTAGCCTGTCATGGATAGTTTTAGTTCATTGTCGCCAATTAATATTTACATTAAGTTATTAAATTATTCAAACTTTCGTGAGACATTATACTAAACTGATATATAAACACGGCTAGCTAGTAGTGAGCGACGGGCTGCATCCGCGAAATAATACCAGTACCACTCATCCTGACGAAGGGCCCCCGATGGGCTCGAAACTAGTCGCTGCCGCCACCGGACGAATATACGTGAGTGTTTAGCCGTGTTTATATATCAGTTTACATTAAGTTGTACTATACAAGACCTACTAGACCTACTTTACCAAAGGTTCCGACACCAATGACATGTATCAAAATGTTGTCTCATTTTTCTCAAAGAGGAAGTAAGAGATGACAATATATTATAACACATAACACGACATTCGAACCCCACGGTTACGTGTACAATACAGAATTGTGCAACTTTTGAAGAATACGTTATTCGTTCACATCGCGTGCTCAAGCGATTCTATCTCCAGTATCGCTATTAAGCTTCCACGAAACAAGAAAATCGCAAGTACTCGACCGTAAGGCACGAGACACACAGAGCGAAGCGTGAAACACATCGCATTATCAAAAGCTTTAATTTTGTACTAACGATACACACTACTACTTCTTCTACATTGTTATAGTTGCAATGTAAAGATTAGTATTATTTATTAAATTATTCAAACTTTCGTAAGACATTATACTAAACTGATATCAAAACGGCTAAACACTCATGTATATTCGTCCGGTGGCCCATGAAGGCCCTTCTTGAAGGGTCCCCGATGGACTCGAAACAAGTCGGTGCCGCCACCGGACGAATATATGTGAGTGTTTAGCCGTTTTTATATCAGTTTATTATTTATTGAATGCAAATGCATACGGATTAGAAAATCTCGCGTAAGTGAACGGCAGTGTCGTTTGGAAACGTCTAAGACGGACTTATACCGTCGACTATTATCTTTTAAAGATTAAGAACTATAGACTAAACTTACTTTTATTGAACATAACGATGGGAAAGCCATCGCCAAAGACATGGTACATTGTCTACCAGTCGAAATTCGCTTTCGCTACAGCGATTTAAATTTAAATCAATAAAGCAGCTTGTTGTGTACCGTACTTTATCCACAAGTGCAGTACACTTGACATTGTTAGGTCACAGTTTCGTGCTCGCTCCGTACCATCAAGTTACTAAGCTCCATTTAATAGCGTATCAGTGCAAATCTGCACTACAATCGAATACTTCGTTTCATTTTGTAAACTGTATTAGAGTTTGATATTGTATTTCTATGTTTATTTTTAGAAAATATTAGTATGAAATTGTATTTAGTTACGATAATATTAGCTTAAGTTTTTAATTAGCTATTTTACAGACATGTTTTGTTTCTAGCTCTTCTTACTTATATTTCATCTGTACCAAAAATCTAAGAAACCGCCTGGTAAAGTGTGATTTTCACAAGTATAATATGTTATAAGCTATCGCCCGCGATTCTTAATAAGAAACCAGTAGCCTTTGTCATCTTCCAGACTATGTTCTATATGTATGCCAAATTTCATCTAGATCTGTTCAGCCGTTATGGAGATACCTTCAAAGTAATATTTTAAACATTCGCATTTATAATATTAGTAAGACTACGACTACAAATTGACAACTTTCGCAAAAATAAAAAATCATATTACCTATAGATAAATATTAATAATACATACGCTGCAAAACGTAGTCACACTTCTTTAGTTTATCTAGCCGTTGTGACGTCAAAGGGGTGTTAGTTCATTGACCTTTCTATTGTTCTCACCTAGAAAGACAACCCTTTTAAAAAAGGAACCTGATCTGAATAAGAAATGGATATTTTCCTTTGACAATATAGAAACGGATCAGGCAAAAAGCTGCCGTTGTAATAAATCAATTCTGCACTTTTCAAATGCGGTGTGATAAAGATGGCAATACAATATAATTACATGCGAAAATCATGCCGACAATTAAAGCTTTGTGAACACACATACTGACAAAATTTACACATATGAAATGGCCATACAAGCGAGTGACCTATTGTTCGTTTGTTTGACAGAGGGGAATGTGACGCTTGACAGGTCCTGTCATTAATAGTCAAAGTTGTTTTCTTACAAGACGATCTCAACCTTCCGATTTGGTCCTTCGGTAAAATACTTGCATAGATTTCTCGAGTATTCCTAAAGTGGACAATAAGATATTGTTTTTACGTCTGGGGAAGGAAGATGTTTTCAAGGATTCTATTGAATTGACAAACATTGTTAGGAAAACATTTCAAAAAGGTTTTCTTTCAACAAAAGTGTTCAATGTATTTCCAATATGTTATTCCACGTTTTTCCATACTTTTTTTTTTATAATAGAAGAGGGCAAACGAGCATCGGGAACACCGAGGTGTTCAACGACGCCCAAGGATATCAGCAATACCTGAGGAACCGCAGATGCGTTGCCGGCCTTTGAGATGGTGATACGCTCGCTTCTTGAAGGACCCTAAGTCGTAGCAGTTTGGAAATACCGCCGAGGACAGACTATTCCACATCGCTGCTGTGCGACATTATTAAGAGGAAAGATTTAATTGTTTGCATTGAATAAGCTCCAAAACTACTGAACCGATTTGAAAAATTCTTTCACTGTTGGGAAGCTGCACCCAATGTGACATAGACATTATTTATTACTAGATTTTTATTAATTCCGCGCGAACGAACACCCGTGCAACTATAAGTACATTATAAATTGATTTACTTTTTTTTATTTACACAATGATATATATCACATTTACAGTAAAAATATGTATACTACTCAAAACAAAATAAGGGCCACTAGCTTATTTGCATTTATGTGCACTTTAGTAAATTAAAAGTAACTGATTAGTAGCATTATATTGATATTACGAACTCTTTGGTGTTTGACCTCTTTCATGCTGTTGTTCGTGTGCCTCATTTGAAAAGTATTGGCCATCTATTTTAAGAAAATAAATAATAATATTTTGTACCAAAATAACTAAGTCTCTTATTTTCAAACGGCGTTAGTTTTCAAAGAAGTCTTGTGTTGGTATATACTATTTTATGCCAGTATTTCGCTTTGTCTTTTATTTTTTTATTATCTGTGGAAATTTTTGTACGGAATAAATTACTGTTCCGTTATTTAAAATTATAATCATATATCCGTTAAGCTATCTACGTAATCGGGTTAAATACCTAAATGGCGTGTTTTGAAGAAAATATTAAACGTAACAACTTCCTTTGTTATCAATGCATTTATGCATTTCCCTTTCTTTTGGTTCGACATTTTTCTTTGAGGGCATTAAATTTTCCAACACTGCCATTTAAAAATACACCTTAAAACTTAATAGGGTCAGTCTATTTTTCTTTAGCATTGTCAATTTTAGTCACTCAATAGGATATACTTGCCAAGGGATAATGAGTCTTAAACTTTAGGAAATAAAGGTCGTGAGTTACGTATATGAACAGGTTATACCTGTTAGGTCCGGATAATTGTCGTTACAACTTTAAAATACTTGATAAGAGGTAATTGTTTTCGTGCTTTTTTACATTAAATGTTTTAGGTTCACGTAAGGGACTACGTATGGACAAAAAACTAAACATAAAATTAAAAATATATATATGAATTTATATAAATACTTCAAATTAAAAAAGTCAAATGGGCAAAGGAAACTTCAGTTAGAAATATCTAGAAAAAAAATTCTAAAACCATACCAGTCAAAATTGTGAATATTGTGGTAATAAAATAATTAAAAAGATATATGGCCACTTATAAAAACATGAAATGCCAAAAATCACAAACGAACAAAATCCGAGATCCAATTTTAAAAAAACAATGAACGTACAAAAGGCAAAGGTATTCGTGTTTTCAGCCAACTTTAGGTCTTTTATCGCACAGATAATAAAACTGTTGCACGCGGCTCGGTCACTAGCATTATTGCTAGTATAAAATATCTCATCGTTTAACTGCAAGTGGCCATTATGAAAATTTCTTTGTTTATGAACGATTAGGCGTACAAAACAGACTCATTTTATGTTCCCTACTTCCCTAGAACTAAAAACATCAATAAAATGAATAAAGGAAGAACTTTATTAAAAGTGTTATATTTTAAAGTAAGTTCCAAAAAAAAATAAGTAATTTAC